TACTGGGAGCACTGGGGAACGTGGCACTGTGGTTACTGGAAGTACTGGGAGCCCTGGGGCAGGCTGTGCTCAGTTACTGGGGTTACTGGGAGCACTGGGGAGCGTGGCACTGTGGTTACTGGGAGTACTGGGAGCCCTGGGGCAGGCTGTGCTCAGTTACTGGGGTTACTGGGAGCACTGGGGAACGTGGCACTGTGGTTACTGGGAGTACTGGGAGCCCTGGGGCAGGCTGTGCTCAGTTACTGGGGTTACTGGGAGCACTGGGGAACGTGGCACTGTGGTTACTGGAAGTACTGGGAGCCCTGGGGCAGGCTGTGCTCAGTTACTGGGGTTACTGGGAGCACTGGGGAACGTGGCACTGTGGTTACTGGGAGTACTGGGAGCCCTGGGGCAGGCTGTGCTCAGTTACTGGGGTTACTGGGAGCACTGGGGAACGTGGCACTGTGGTTACTGGGAGCCCTGGGGCAGATTGTGCTGGAGCACTGGGAGCACTGGGGCATGCTACGCTATGTCACTGGGGTTACTGGCCTTACTGGGAGCCCTGGGGCACATGGCACTGTTGTTACTGGGAGCCCTGGGGCAGGCTGTGTTCAGTTACTGGGATTACTGGGAGCACTGGGAGCCCTGGGGTGGGCTGTGCTATGTTACTGGTGTTACTGGGAGCCCTGGGGCAGGTGGCACTGTGGGTACTGATGTTACTGGGAGCCCTGGGGCGGTTTGTGCTGTTACTGGGAGCCCTGGGGCAGGTGGCACAGTGGTTACTGGTGTTACTGGGAGCACTGGGGCAGGCCATACCGGGTTCCTGGGGGCCCTGGGGTGTCCTGTGGTGTGTTACTGGGAGCACTGGGGTTACTGGGAGCACTGGGGTTACTGGCCTTACTGGGAGCCCTGGGACAGGCTGTGCTGTCTTACTGGTGTTACTGGGAGTACCGGGGTTACTGGGAGCACTGGGGTTACTGGCCTTACTGGGAGCCCTGGGACAGGCTGTGCTGTCTTACTGGTGTTACTGGGAGTACCGGGGTTACTGGGAGCACTGGGGTTACTGGCCTTACTGGGAGCCCTGGGACAGGCTGTGCTGTCTTACTGGTGTTACTGGGAGTACCGGGGTTACTGGGAGCACTGGGGTTACTGGCCTTACTGGGAGCCCTGGGACAGGCTGTGCTGTCTTACTGGTGTTACTGGGAGTACCGGGGTTACTGGGAGCACTGGGGTTACTGGCCTTACTGGGAGCCCTGGGACAGGCTGTGCTGTCTTACTGGTGTTACTGGGAGTACCGGGGTTACTGGGAGCACTGGGGTTACTGGCCTTACTGGGAGCCCTGGGACAGGCTGTGCTGTCTTACTGGTGTTACTGGGAGTACCGGGGTTACTGGGAGCACTGGGGTTACTGGCCTTACTGGGAGCCCTGGGACAGGCTGTGCTGTCTTACTGGTGTTACTGGGAGTACCGGGGTTACTGGGAGCCCCGGGGCAGATTGGACTGATGTTACTGGGAGCCCTGGGACAGGCTGTGCTGTCTTACTGGTGTTACTGGGAGCATTGGGACAGGCTGTGCTGTTTTACTGGTGTTACTGGTGTCACTGGGAGTAGCCCCCGCTCTGGCAGCCGGACCCCACATCTGGCTGCTCCCGCCCAGATGTTTGGTTGCCATGGCGACCGCCAGCCCATAAACACGGGTCGCCTGGGTCCCCTGGGGGGGGGGCGCTGCAGGGGGACAGCCTACCTCAGCATGACCTTCACCGCAGGTGAACCTCTGCTCTGGCACCTGGAATACCTCCTTCTTCCCGCAGCGGAGCTGCTGGGACGAGCGGGGACGGGAGGTAGAGGGGATACTGGGGATACTGGTGTTGCTGGACCTACCGGTGTAACTGGTTTTACTGGACGTGCTGGAGTTGCTGGTGTCGCAGGTTACTGGGATCACTGGTGTTGCTGGGCGTACTGGAGTCACTGGTGTTACTGGTTGTACTGGAGTTGCTGGGCATACTGGTGTCACTGGACATACTGGAGTTGCTGGTGTCACTGGGTGTACTGGTGTCACTGGGCTTAATGGAGTTGCTGGTATCACTAGTGTTTCTGGACTTACTGGGGTTACTGGACTTACTGGACTGACTGGGGTTGCTGGTGTCGCAGGTTTCTGGTATCTCTGGAGTTGCTGATGTCACTGGATGTACTGGTGTCACTGGGGTTAACGGAGTTGCTGGACTTACTGGGGTTACTGGAGTTGCTGATGTCACAGGTTACTGGTATCACTGGGGTTGCCGGATATAGTGGAGCCACTGGGGTTACTGGTGCTGCTGGAGGTACTGGAGTTGCTGGTGTGGCTGGAATTACTGGTGTTACTGGAGCTGCTGGGAGTGTCTGGGATTGCTGGTGTTACTAGTGGTACTGGAGGTGACTGGGCTTACTGGTGTTACTGGTGGTGGTGCTGAAGTCACTGCTGTTGCTGTTACTGGGGTTGCTGGAGCTGCTGGTGTTACTGGAAGTGACTGGAGTTGCTGGACTTACTGGTGTGACTGGACTTACTGGTGTTACTGGAACTGCTGTTGTTACTGGTGGTGTCTCGCTGGAGTTACTGGGAGCTGGAAGGGACTGGAATGGCTGGAGTTACTGGTGTTACTGGAGCTGCTGGGGTTGTTGGTGTTACTGGAGTTGCTGTCATTATTGGTGTTGCTGGTGTTACTGGGGTTACTGGTGTTTTTGCTGGTGTTACTGGGGTTACTGGAGTTCATGGAGTAGTTGGTGTTGATGTTGTCGTTGTTGCTGGGGTTACTGGTGTTACTGGAAGTGACAGGAGTCATTGGTGTTACTGGGGTTACTGGAGGTGACTGGTGTAACTGGTGCTGTTGCTGCTGGAGCTGGGTGTGACTGGTGTTACTGGAGTCACTGGTCTTGCTATAGCTGGGGTTGTTGCTGTTACTGGTGTTACTGGAGTTGTTGCACATGCTGAAGGTTACTGGTGTTACTGCAGTTGTTGCTGGAGTTACTGGTCTTGCTGGTTGCTACTGGAATGACTGCGGACTGGGGGGGGGTGACTAGGGTTACTGGGGTTGCTGGTGCTACTGGAGTTACTGGAGTTGTTGCTAGGGTTACTGGTGTTACTGGGTGGGGGGATAAAGCTACTGCAGTTAGTGAGAACTGGGGGGTCCTCCAGTAGGGGGGGTTACTGGTGTTACTGGGCGCACCGGTACCAGGGCCACACAAGGGTGGTGCGTGGGTGGGTGCTGTGGGTCTCAGTGTCCATGTGTCCCCCATGATGTCTGTGTGTCCCCACGTGTGTCCATGTGTCCCCTTGGTGTCCCCTGTGTGCCCCTTCACACTGTGTCCCCCCTGGGTGTCCCTCCGGGTGAGTGTCCGGGTGTCCCCTTTGGTGTCCCCCACAGGTGTCCCTGTGTCCCCTTGGTGCCCCTTCATGATGTCCATGTGTTCCTGGGTGTCCCCCATGATGTCTTTGTCACTTATGGTATCCCTGTGTGCCCCCCCCCGATGTACAGGTGTCCCCCGTGATGTCTGGTTGTCCCTTGGTTGTCCCCATGGGTGTCCATGTGTCCTCGTTGATGTCCCCTGTAGGTGTCCGAGTCCTCCTTGTGTGTCCCCCACCAGTGTCTGGGTGTCCCCCATGATGTCCATGTGTCCCCTAAGGGTGTCCCTGTGTCCCCCTTCGTGCTGTCAGTTGTACCCCGTGGGTGTCTCTTGGGTGTCCTTCATGGCTGTCCGTGTGTCCCCACAGGTGTCCCCACAGGAGCCATCCATCCCCTCCCTGTAGGACCATGACCGTGGGGCTGCCCCTGCTGCTGCTGGCACTGGCGCTGCGGGGGGGGGCGGGGACACCCCCTGGGTCCCCCCCGGCCCCCTCCTGCGGGGCAGCAGCGCTGGTGGCCATCCTGGGGCGCCTGCGGGAGCTGGAGGGACAAGTGCGGGCGCTGCAGGGGCAGTGTGGGGACAGCCAGGGACCCCAGGCTGGCACCGGTATGTGGGGGGACAGAGGGATATGGGGGAGATGTGGGGGACCTGGGGACATGGGGAAGATGTGGGGGGACATGGGGGATAGAGGATGTGTAGGGAGACGTGAAGGTTGTGGTGACGTGGGGCATGTGGGGGGATGTGAGGGGACATGTGGGGGGATGTGAGGGGACATGGAGGGACATGAGGTGATGTTGGGACATGAAGGTTTGGGGGACATTGGGGGGCATGTGGGGGGACGTGAGGGGACAT